ATTTAGAAGTACTTACAAATTATGTTGTAATGAGGTTTTATACTTTTTTCTCTGTAGATTGTTCACTAGCTGTTTGACTTCCTATCATTGTGGTGGGGATTTTTTAAAAATTACATTAGCTTATATACTTGGTAGTCTGTGAAATATACAGAGAGTTAATGGGTCTGCTAGTCATTAAGGGAAATTAAAACTGTCTTTTGTTTATGAAGATTTAAATAGAGACAAACATTAAAAAGCAAAGTACCATTTTTAATTACTAGTAAGAGTTTAAGTAAAGAGATACTATCAAAGATAGTAATAAACAATGATTTTTTCGGTAATGAAGTTAGTTGTATTACTTGAATACCTGAATGCTAATTTTGTTCTTACATCTTGTAGTTTTTGGATAAATTTTTCTAAGATCTATATCACTTTTGCTTGATAAAACTGTATTACTGTCACATTTTCTATTTGGAAATTTTTTTAATAATTTAGCAAAATCTTGTAATTTTAAATTTTACACAGTAAAACAAAATATATAAACGTAGAATAACAAACCATGTGTCCATTTTGCACTAAAATAATTTTAACTACTGTCTCAAGAATTTTTTTTGTCTTTTTGAGACAGAGTCTTGCTATACACTTCATGCTGGCCTTGACTCACTTTGTAGCCCAGGCTGGTCTTAAATTTGCAATGATCCTCCTGCCTCAGCCTCCCAAGTGCTGGGATTACAGGTATGTCCCACCAGGCCTGGCTGCCTTAAGAATTTTTAAACAGGGGCTGGGGATTTAGCTCAGTGGCAAAGCGCCTGCCTGGCAAGTGCAAGGTCGTGAGTTCGGTTCCCGGTACCGGGGAAAAAAAAAAAAAAGAATTTTTAAATAGTATTATTTATATATGCACTCAAATTTCCTGTGAGTTATCATTTGTCTGTTCTTCGTATGAGGTGACAGTTTAATGGAGATAATTCAGAAAGTTGAAAAAACATAGAAGGTGATTTCAATCAATGTACACATGTTTACTAATATTTTTCAAGTGCTTACTGTTGGAAAGACTCTAGGCAGACAGCAGTTAAAAAAACAGAACCCAGACTTCATTTCATGAAGCATGTTGTTTACTATGGAAGAAACACATTAGGTAATTAATTACACAAAGAAGAGATTACAGATTTATCCAGACAAAAAAATTGGAGTAGGACATTGCAGGTTGAGAACACCACAAATGGTTGAATGCTGAAGTAGGAAAATGCTCGGAAAGTTTCAGGAAAAGGTTAATGGGACTAAAATATAGTGAAAGGTAGAAGGAAAGTGGCAAAAATGAGGCCAGGTTGAGAAGCAAGGGTCATATCATGCAAAGTATATGACCATGCTAGGAGTTTTATATTTTAACTGCAAAGGGAAACTATGGAAGGATTTTTAATACAAAGACACATAATTTTCTTTGTCTTTTAAATATTTTTGCCTGCTGAATAAAGCGTGGAAGGGATGGCAAGAGAAGAAAGGAGTACAATATCAGGAGTCTCTTCCAGACAGCTGTTAGATACCGTAGTGAAGTGGACAAACACGATGGTGATATAACTGGAGAGAAGTGGGTAGACTTAAGATATGCACTGGAAATAGTACTGATAGGAGGTGATAACGGATTGAACTTAAGATAGAAGGAAGCAGGGGGTGCCAAAACCAGCATGTGTTTTTTGACACAGCAGCTAGCCACTTGGTGATTAATACTGTGATTAATAATCAGGCACCAAAGAGGAAGAGCAGATTTGGGGACTGAGACATGGAGGAGTTCACTTTTCAGACTAATGAGTCCCACCTATGTTCCAAAGCATTTAATTTATATTTTATACTAATATAGACATATTCCCCAGTTCTTTTGGTCCATATCTCCTTCCACTATGAAAATCTTTACATAGATCTTTACAGAGTTCCTGGATCTAAGGTTCTATAGGCCCAGGAAGAAAGTACTTGGGTTAGAAGTCATAGTTTACCACAGAATCTTCATGAGATGGAATCCCCAAATCCACAGGGAAAGTAGAAAACAGTCTATCTCTTAGGAATAAAAAAGGGGTAACTCAGAAGTTTCAGTTTCCAGATTATGGTGAGTAATAGGGTCATGGCATGTAAAAACAATGGAGGTAGGGGAATCATGACAATAATAATAAACAGCATTTATTAGATGCGTTTCATACTTCAGGAACTCACTAAATGCTTTCCATGTATTATTACTTCAGCACTCTTTAAGGTAAGTACTCTTTGACCAGAATTTAGAGATTAGAACACGAGGCTTAGCAGTTCTAAGCCATTTTTCTGAAGGCCACACAGATGGAAAATGAAAGAGCAAAATGGCCAGATATGTGTGAGTGCAGAAGTAGAATTTTACACCACTGCATCCTACTACCCCAGCACACCAATAACAGGTAAAACTTCAAAGTCAAAAGCTGTACAGAAAATGAAAAACTATGTATGTATTGGTTTCCAAATATTGATAAATAATCCAAAATAAGGGACATGTCTCTGCTGTGCTGGACTGTTTTAATTACACACAATTCCTAAAGACATAATTGACTGCTTCAAGGTTGAAATTTTGATCAACAGAATTTTATATAATCTTGCAGGCATATTATTTTTATGATGAAGCTCTAGTCATTTTGAATTTCATCTTTCCTTCATCCTGTGCTCTTCAAAAAATTCTTAACTTGCAGTTGTTTGGCTTTTTCGGTCAATATCTGTGATTCAAATTCATTTTCTTTCATCTGGTGGCCTTTATCACTGTACCCAATTCTAAACCTACTTTTGATGAATACTGACCTTGTGTAACATGAATTATATGTTGGTTCATGTCTCTTAGCTGAAAAGCTTGCTTTAGTTTTTAGTTTTTGAGTTTTTAAAAACAAGCTTAAAAAAGCATGATATATTTCAATTCAACTTTTGTGGAGTTCTAAATGATCTAATAATAGTTTCATCATAATGGAAACTTCTAAAAAGATTGCTGATAAAATGAAGAACATAAAACCCACCCTTTCATCCTTCAACAGCACAGGGAGGGTCTGTACCCCCCATACCACTCACTGTCTCACAGCAGCAGTATCGTGGCTGCCATTTCTAGCACCCTCAACTACAGCTGACTAAGTTTTGAGCAAGAAACAAGGTTTATAAAAAACAGAGCATTTCAGTTGAGGGGGACAGTGTGTGCAGTGTACAGGCAAAACATGAAGGACATCATAACGACTTGGGAAGAGGGGGACGAATGATGATGGATTACACAAGTTGCTGTCATGGCTTTGTTTTAATGTCCCCCCAGCATTTCATGTGCTCGTGGGGCTTTTTCAGAGGTAGCTGAATCCTGAGTGTGTGATGCTGGGATTAAGAGTATATAATTACTGAACCAGTCCACTGACTGGTTTGGTACAGCCCTAATCCGTGTAGTCTGGATAAGATAAAAGGGGCAGAAGGACTGTTAAGGTCTTCCCTCACTTATCGATTTTGCTGTCATCTGCTGCCATGAACTGTTCCTCCTCTGGTATGTCCCTCTGCCAAGCCATCCTGCCTTGGAGCCCACCGATTGTGGACTGAAAACTCTACAAACTGTGGGCTAAATAAACCTTACCTCCTTTATCTTTGGTTGTTGGGTATTTTGTCTCAGCAACAAGAGAAAAGCAACTAAGACAGTTGCTAAGTTAGAACCAAATTTTGAGGGCCTTTTATACTATTTGAAAACATCTGAATAGATGCTAAGGTAACAGCAAGCCACTGGCAACCAGTTTCCTTCTGTGCTCCGTATACTTCCTTCCTCTTTGGTTGCTATTTAGGTTGAAAGACAAAGCCAGCCATACCTCTTAGTCTTTGTTCTTATCCATTTATAGTACTTTTCTACAATTCAATCCACTTAGCAGCCTAATTCCACGGTTCTCAGTGTGTGAAACTGCTCTTTGGCATGAAGATAGTCATGACTAATTCAAAGGAAGCCAACTTAAGTAGAACCCGGGAAGCCTATCAAGCATTTGAAAAATACAAACACAAACAGAAAAAAAATTTTAAATCATTCAGGAGAAAAAAATATATATATCAACTACTGAAACTGTGGGTGTCCTTTTTCAAAAGGACACATTTCTTCTTTTGTGCATGTGCAGTTGTCCACAGTGCCAAAAAGCAGTGTGCCAGGACAAATGGACCACCGCAGGTGGAGAACAGGTCCAGTAATACAAAGTTGTCCCAAGCTCTCTCCACAGTGATCCAAATTTCACATAGGTTTATTTTGGAATTGAAAAAACCTAAGCAGGTCCAACTAAGTAAAAAAACATTGCAGCACCTGATTAGTTATTCCACAAGTACCGTGTGTGTGTGTGTGTGTGTGTGTGTGTGTGTGTGTGTGTGTAATTTTGAAACTTTCTTTAAAAACTGGACTCATTTTCTATAATTTAGCTTTCTCAGTATTTTCTACTTCCATTATGAGGGATTCTACTCCAAAGAAAATTGCTTTACAGACTTTTACTTCATTAGCCAGTCAGAAGTATACTTCTCCTGAGACAGGAGACATTGTTACTGGTCCACACATGCTGAGAGACCAACAGAAATGTGGCAGAAATTATAGAAACTGTGCAGTAAACAAAATAAAATCCTATCAGCAGGTGCAGTGAACTTGCTCTGTTCACTATTCCTCTAACAAGCACTGGTTTCATTCTGTGGAACATGCTGAATATCATTTGTAAGCAAGTGCTTGTTATTTAACTCACTGAATTGTGAGCAAAAGAAAAACAGGTAGCTTTAAGAAGCATGCGTTGAAGAGTTTGGCGTATTGTCTGTCCTGCTTTTAAACACAAATGTATCAAATTTAATGCTGCTGAATGATTACCTAGCTTCAGAAAGTCTAGAGGTCTTAATATCTATCACTTTAATTTTACCAACCAATAAATAATGATGGATTTATTTACAAATGTATTTTTAAATAGTACATTGGAAAATCCTGGAGTAAAAATATGGTCACTTCAGATCTTCCCATAACTAATGCTTGTTTGGTTTAGGAGCACGGCATTCCTACTGACATGGGCTATGCAGTAGCCCCACACCATTCAGGTGTCTACCCTGTCCATGTTCAGCTTTATGAGGCTTGGAAGAAGGTTTGGAATATTAAAATCACCAGCACTGAAGAATATCCACATCTGAAGCCAGCTAGATATCGGAGGGGGTTCATCCACAAAAACATCATGGTAAGCTTTGTCTGTTATTCCTAATGCTGCTAGATTTATATTCATTTGAAGAAAACACAAGAGCGCAAAATCTTAAAAGCTTGAATATAGGAAAAGCTCCAAGTATGCTGTAGGGAACATATTTGTCATATCAAAGCAAAGGATGTTCTAATTAATGTTTTTTAACTGACAGTGCTGCTTAGTAGCTACTGTCATAAAAATACTTTAAAAAGTAACATCAAGTTTCAGAGGATCTTAGCAGCCATCATTTCTTCAAAAACTTATTTACTAAGTAAAAGAAAGACTACTTCTCCCTATATTAATCATTTTGCCCTTAGATAACCCAGTTAAACTGTCTTTTTACTACACCAGGCTAAAAAAACCTGAAAATTAAACTATCTGTAGCAAGAAGCCACATGCCAAGCCCTCTATAATCATTATCAGATGATAGTACAGAGGATATATGACAGATAAATGTCAATGAAATCATTTCTATCCATTGCCTAATTCTCTCCAGAGCATCTCAAGTTTGTTTTGTTTTTTACACTGGTGGCAAATGTATATTATTAAAATATGTTAATATCTAATTCTTTGTGAGACCTCTCCATATAAGTAATTAAATCTTAATGTTTCCCAAGCCAGAAAATCTAAGGAAAATACTAGAAAGATACGAATCGCTCTCCTAATAACTCTCAGAGTGATAGATCTGAACAGACACTCTCCTTTGGAATTAGGTATAACTGACTTCCTTACAGTTTTCTGTCTGCAAAGAGATAATGACATTTTGTTTGTCTCAACTCACACCTTGACTTTTCTGTTAATTAGATAATATTATAAATGTTAGATGAGGATATAACGGCCATGTTTTTTCCCAGCCTGCCCTTTGTCTGGCCAGTAAGAAAATGAACTTATGATGCCTTAAACTGCTGACCTTTCTGACCAGGGAAAACTTTAAAGACCTGCCTTATATAATAATTAACAGTATCCAAATGCTCATTTGTCATCTTAAAATAATAGGCACTCATATAATAGTGAAGTTAAATCTATAAAGACTAAAGGGTTTTTATTCTGTTGTGTTTCTTTATCTTTACTGCCAGAAAACTTGCTGGGATATTTCCTTTGAGATATGTTCAGTTTTTGTTTTTCCTGAAAAAATATTTTACCTGCATTATAAATGCATGAATCTTGCAGGTAATAAAAGCTCTAAGAGAGTTCTTGTTTTGACAGAGCTGTCCTCGTGGCTCCACTTCTGCTTAGAAAGCCTCTATTTGGTTTGTGAGCTCTTCTATAAGAATTTCCAAGGGAGAAATGTTCAGCAAGCACTTGATTATTCAATAAGACAGAGAGGAAAGGGCGAGGAGCCATCCAAATAAAGATACAATTTAATACCACAAGAGCCAATGTGCCCTCACCATAAGAGCCAGCAAAGACAAAATGAGCAAGGAACTGAAATAGAAACCCTAGGTCAGATGTGTCTTTTGCTATTTAACGTGAGGAAAAAAAATTAATGACCCATTCATAAGTTAAACTCAAAAGATTTAAACTCATTATCTTCCCTTAAAAGTCAGCTATTGATTCTGCTATTCCCAATCCAGTTCTGCAATTTGAACATCACATGGGGACTCCATTTCCAATCGGTCTCTAAATACCATCAGTAATTTCTCTTTAATATCTTTTCGTTTGCTTTAGCACAGCCAGTATGTTAATTAACTGCTTCGGTTTTCATGTGTTAACCGTAGTGCTAATTCCTTTCTTGTCTATGCATAGCCTCCATCCGCCCCACCACCTTCACTACAGTCTATCCCATGGATGGTGCCAACATTCGAACCTTTCTAACATTTCTAACCCTTGTTAGTTACAGCTGTTTCCATGCCCTTTCACTCTCTTCCAAGTCCTGAAAACAGGCTGGACTAAAATCTACCTTACTTGCTTCTATTTCTATGCAGCTTGTACACTCACTTCAGCCAAACAGGCCTACAACAGTATTGCTGTTTCTAAGCTTTTACCGTTCTTTCCACCTTGGATGACTCTGACAATTACCTATTTCTATACCCTTTATTCTTCAATATCAAGTACTATGTCATACATAATTTACTGTAAAGCACCTTGGTATATGTCAGTTCAACAACAAACTCAGCCTGCAGTGATCTTATTCTCCTGAGTTCCTCTGTTCTCCAGGGAAATATAAAAATCATATATTTGAAGGTGTTTGAGTCCTAACTGTAAAGTTTCTGAGCCTCTAGTCTTGAATTTTCCAATGGGCAAATTTTTATCCTCACACAGTGAATAACTAGTGAAATGGCAGGAATCTCTACTCTAACCCTGGTTGTTCAAGTATGACCTCTGGAGAGATACAGAGACCTCTAAGCAATCAGATACAGTCTGACTTTCTACTAACTGTTGCCAATAGAGACGCCCATCGATAAAGGCTCCCATTAATCCTATTGACAGTGCCAGGTGGTCCTTACTAACCACAAGCACTGCTGCACTGCTGACAGTTCTGCTACTTTAAAGCATTAGTTATAAGATGTTGGCTTCAGGTACTATCAGCCAAGATTCTTCCTGACAGTGGCTTTCATGACCATTCAGCTAGAAGGTTTCTAGGGGTTCCTCAGTGTCTAAAAGTTTAAATTTGATAATGTTACACCCCAAGAACCATATCTAGAGCATAGTCCACAGCTAAATACCTTTAAAAAGTTCTCACATTCCTTCCCTAGTATGAGAAAGCTGTTTAAAGGAACATGTTCTATGTCCTACAGCATTACAATAAGGGTCGTGGCAGTGAAATATGACCCTTATGGCACTCCTGATTATCTCCTTAACCTCCTGAGTGTCCACCGCCTCACCTGGTGATTCACTGCCTCTCATGATGGTGCTAATACTCTCAGCAGCAGTCCTTCCTGGAGTTGCAGGGTAAAGCCTGAAATTTCTCCTTCACTATGTTCAAACTTAAATAATTTAAGAAAACAAAACTCAATTATTTTTCACTTCTCTCTCCACTTAGCAGAAAACTACCTAGGTAACCGAGTTTTGCAGACAGCTCTATATGTATTATGCAATTTTCCCAAAAAGGAAATCAAACAGAATCCTAAAAGTTATTTAGTTAGAGTCACACACTTTTAAAATGTAACACTAACCTGTCATTTAATCACATGTGGGCATTTTATTATTTAGAATTTGGAAATATATCTTAAATTCTTCAAATGTAGAAAACATTCATCTTCATATTTTCTCATGGACTAGTACAGAGTTTGGAATAAGTATTTGTTAAATAAACAAAGAAATATCATAGAAAGCTTTAATTTCCAGAAAATGACATTTTCAAGACATGTTAGAAAATATATTTAATTCAGTTAGAATGCCTTTTCTTTTAGCTCTTTTTTGTTGCTGATCTTATGCATAGCAATGTATAATGCTTTCAAAATGTTTAATGTTTTCAAAGAAAGCTAATATTCCATGAATTAAATGGAAGTTCTTTGAACTATTCCAAGATAAAACAGTTTATAATGGTATATAACTGCTACCAATTTATTAAAACAGACAGGATGCATCGTTTTCATTTACTCAGCACTATATGATATAGTGATTGAGCTGAGAATTGCTCCCTAAGAGAACATGCCAAGAACTAGATAAAAATCCTTTACAATATATATTCAAATTAAAACAAAACAAATTAAAAACATCTATATTTGTAGATGGCTGAAAAACATGGAAGTCCTGAACAGGTAATAATTTGAAAATGTTACTGAATCGAATGTACTTTAAGAATCAAAACAATACAAATGAAGATCTATTTGCTCACAAAAGTAAGCAATAGACTTACTTGTGCATGATGATAAAAATGTGTAGTTTCCCAAAATATATTCATTGATTTTCTGTCACTTGAAGTGAGTACTAATATACAAAGGATGAAAAGAAGACTTTTCACTAATTAAATGATTATCATTTTATTTATGAGATATTCTGAGTTAATTACCGAATGATAATTTTTTACTCTTGGAACTAGCAGGTTTCACACCTAGAATTTTGAGCAATTACTACATCTTGTAGTAGTACTTTCAGACTAAAGCAGATACTGTGATTTATGTCTCAGATACTGTTCTAAATTAAACGTCATTTTCTAAGAGGCACAATAAGTTAACAATTGACATAATTTTCTGAAACGTATAGAATTTGGAAGAAGGTATTGTTGTTTACATTTTACCAATGAAGATCACAATGTAACAGTTAATTTCAGTATTTTTAGTCTCATTTTTACTCCCTAAGATGTTCAAACATATTAGGCTCCACAATGAGAGAACTTTGAGATTTAAAGTGATATTAATAATTCAAAGTCTATTTTAGTTTTTAAATATTTTTGCAATTTGTCTCATGGTTCCTCTGTACCAATCTCATTCTCTCTTTCTAAGAGTGCCAGAATTTTTCCAGTGCTAGAGTTAAGTAATGATACGACCTTGTAATCATTTTATGAGAGAAAAAGTTGTCCACAAAGTAATTGGTTGAAAGGAACTTTTCTATCTTGTTCATTTCTCATTCAGGTTCTTCCAAGACAGACCTGTGGGCTTTTCACTCACACAATTTTCTATAAAGAATATCCAGGTGGCCCTAAGGAGCTGGACAAAAGTATTCAAGGTGGTGAACTTTTCTTCACTGTGGTACTCAACCCAGTAAGTACTTGGAGTTTTTCTTCAATGAAAAATGACAGAACACATGAAAATCACCCTGATGAAGAGGCTAAGGTTTGGGTATAAGTCATTTCAAGGAGAAGTTCCAGCTCTAAAACAGTAGTATAAAACTGAATGGAGCCACATCTAGAAAGGGGGACACAAGCAACAGTGATATGGCGAACTTCGGGCTGGGGGTTTAGCTCAGCGGCACAGCACCTGCCTGGCAAGCGCGAGGTCATGAGTTCAATTCTCGGTACCAGAAAAAAAAAAAAGAAAATTAGTTTGACATGGTGAACTTCATGGTAGAATGAGGGAATGCTCCAGCCCACCCTCCTCTTTGCATGGGAAAGTAAACACAATTTAAAGATTCAAATCTCTCCTATTTCCATTGGGGACCAGTTTTGAGGGTTTTGTTTTATTTTTCATTAAGCAGTCATTCACTTTATTGCTCTTTTTCTCTAAGATATAAGCAAAATATTTATATTTTTATAAATACAAGTGAAAGAAATTAGTAAGTAAATACAGTCACTGTTCCTATATTCACATTAGCTCCTGCCTCAGTCACAGAGCAGCCCCATTTAGCAGCTACTGTTCTTCCTCATTCAGTTATCAATACTTATGTATCAACACTACAGTGAACCATTTGCACATAATTTTGCTTGAGGCAAGTAGTATAAAATTGTGTGGGGAAAGAAAAACTAATTGAAATAAGGGGTATAAGGAAAATAATTTTCTGTGGAAAAATTACTAACATAAAAAATGAAGCTAAGTTCATTTGTCAGATATATGGGTTTGCCCCAAGCATTGGCAATATTCAGAATGAAACACTCCTCCAAATGTGGGGAAAAATTCTATCAGGGTAAAAATTAGATAAGGTAGAAATAATCAAAAAAAAATTTGAAAGACTCCTTTCTTGACCTTAATTGTACAGGCCTGCAAATAAAATTGCAGACATTTTTCTTTATCTACTCTTTTTTAATAATTATATCTATTGTTTTAGCTTCTAGAATTTTTTTAGATCCTAGAAATAGAGTGAAGTAGAAATAAACATAACTCCTATTCAAAATGTTCAACTGTGTTCAAAACAAGATCATATAAAAATATGGCCTTTAGCCTTTTGGAAGCTTATCAACCTTGAGACCCCCAAAATATAAATAATTGGAATTTGAGCACCAGAAATAATTTAATGTCCTAACTGACCTATTTTTTACAAAGTGTGTTTAAGTCATATCATATAGCCTTTCTCTCTTTCTCTCTCAATTCAGCTAATAGTGCATAGGCAGAAGGAATTAAGTCAATGCCTGATTGTGAACTGAAGACTTATCTGTTCCCTATTATCTGTCTTTTATTTTGTTCTTTAATTACCTATCCTTTGGGTTGCTCGTATAAGAGAAATCATGCATATTTAAGCTCGTGTGTCTGGACTCAGTTAAAACATTTTTAAAATGCTGACATTCCAGTTTAAGACTCTTTATGATCCACAAATTCTGATATTTTACATTTCCTCTCACCATGGAACAACGAGACTATGAACCACTCTTACTCTCTTAACTAATAGCAGCTTTGGGGATTAAGATGTTCGTGGTAGTAGTGTTCTTTCAGTATTTTCTAAAGCAAATGAACTTTATTTAACATGAAAGAAATTCAAATTTAGATCACTCTTGTCCAATTAGTTTATATCAAAAATTTCACCCCTATAAAAATACTATGTTTTTCATTAATTAGAAATAGAATTATTTTAATTTTAAAAATTGATATAGGAGAACTTGTATTAATTTTGGGCACTACTTTAACTGATCAAACTCTTGGGCTCTGATCTGAGCAAACTCTGTTGCTATAGAGGCTGTATCAATATTTGGCAGTTTCATTTTTCTTGATGAAGAGACCCATTAGGAATAAAGGATAAAAATGTTTTATAATACTTTTTCTTGATTCAGAAAACTTTCAGAAGGGAATCACTTTCAGATAGACACTTAGGCTCAAAACAAATGACAAATCTTGTCAAGTACCATATGATAAATAGTGAATTCAAAGCCTTTCATCTGGTATACCAGATGCAATATTGGGAAACAGTTCCATTTATCTGTGGACATGTGGTTAAGAAGTCTGTAGTTAAACTCAGCTGATCTGGCTGTAAGAAAGTTTGGTATCTTTGGGGTTACCCACCTTGCAGAATGGAGTGAGGAAAGGTGGTATCTTTCCTGTGAGTTCTCATAGTAAAATTAAGTGCTTGAATGAAGTTGGTATTAATGTTTAAAAACTTTTAAGTGAAGTAAGGCACACAATTAATTTATCAGCTGATATTCCTTATTAGGTTAAAATAAGAAAACCTTGATGCTACTAAAGTAGCGGCAAGAAAGATATGAATTTTAATTATAATGAATTTGATAGCCACTGTAAGATCCTGTAAAATGTCAGGGCTCAATTAAAATTACTGTAAATTTTACTACATTACTCAAATTTCATAAAAAACTTTTGCCAAATGAGTTTCTTTACTTATAAAAATATTGATTTATCCTGTAAACATGGAACTTAAACACATTCAGCTACATTTGAGTTGAAAATGAAAACCTAATCAGGACTTAATTAGTGAAGTTTTAAAATTTTCTTTCCATACATCAATATACTCTCAAGGTGCTATACATCAATATACTATCAAGGTGCTAGAATAGCTCAACAGTATTGTGGGGAAAGTGGCTCAACATAATATTGTACATCAATATAATATCAAGGTGTTAGAATAACTTACCTCTATTGGGTTTAGAGGCAGCAGCAATAAAATATCTTTCAAAATTAATCTGGAATAGATTACAGCAAAGATGAAAATTGTTTGAATGGAAGAACTTTCTGTCCTGAAATGTTCCACTCTCACCAAGCATCTTTCATTGCTAAAAAAAAAAAAAAGAGAGAGAGAAAAAAGACATAACATGTCAATCTAGTGGCTATAATGCAAAACAAATTTTGCAAAAACAAATGTTAGGTCTGTGGAGGGGAAAGAAAGCCTTGGTCATCCCTATAGGAGCATTTCCCATGTCGTGGGCCTGGAAATCTCTGGTGTAGGTTCAATGCAGGAGTTTTAATAGAATTTGGAGGTTCAGTTTCAGTTGGAAAGTAGACCCACTGGGCTCTTTCAGCCTGGGCCAATTAAAAAATTAATTGTTCTAACTCTTTGCTCTGATTCTAAACTCAGTTGTCAACTGATTCCTACATACATCTTGTCATGAAAAATATGTTGATCATAGAAACTTGTACTCACTGGAACAGTAACTTGCAAAAATAATTTTTTAAATTGTTTTTTAATTAGTGAGTATTTCCCATGCAACCTGACCAACAGGATAGGGCCCTCTAATTTCAGGGATTCCAGTATTCAGTTCCTCCCTAATTTATAATTACCTATGTCAAACTAATAGATGGCTTGTTTTTATTTATTAATTTCACACTAATTTGATTTTGTCCCTGAGAAACCTACTCTCCTATCATTGTGAGTGTGCTGAATCAGGTTTTTCAGTTCACCAGGCTGAGGAAAAAAGCTCTGAAATGTGGGCTGAATTACATGTTGCTTCATGTTGTTCTTCACACTTCTGATTGTCTTCCTGTTTGAAGATTTGTTTTTGTTGAGTTCCTCTGATTTAAGACCTACAGACTCACATAAGTTATCTCTAATGTGGCTCCAGAAATCTGAACATTCAGCAGTTAGAGAGCTTAAAAGTTTCTCTTAGTTCAAGAAAGCTCAGAAGTCCATAAAGCGGAGTTACTAACCGTCAACAAGTCTTAGACTTTAACATGAACACAACACAAGCTTTTCAAGTGTCTGAGTTTCTCTTTTCTACTAATACAAACAGTTCTTCTCTGCCTCAAAAGTGCTGTTTGTTTCCAGTTTCTAGATTATCATCAATTAATCCCATACATGGTCAAAAAAGATTACATCAAAAGTTTTCCATATCAGAAATCAGCGTCAGTTCTCAATTGCTTATTTCTTCATCCTCTTGATTCTCAGTTGAACTTCCCAGCAAGAGAACTGAGGTCATCATTCTGAGTAAGCCTGTGTTAATCTTGGCCTCCTATGAAATGGCTGCCCCTGTGCATACCTAACCATGCCTGAACAAGGGTAAGGGTTATTCTGTTTCTGCAAAGATTGGGAGGGGCAGGCACAATGGCTACTCTCTAGCCTGGATCTGAATGTTCTGGTACCAGTCAGTGTGGTCTTCCACCTATTCCAGGGATTGCGATTTGCAAGCAAACTGAACCTTTTCGTAGAGGGTCTAATGATTAATTTTGAGGTTTGTAAAGCCTTGGTAAGTATCTTTTTAGGAGGGATCAATTGATTTTAGTTATCATTTTACTATCATGCAGTCACATGTCTTGTGTTTTGCTTATCCTATAGCCTCAGCACCAGAAGAGTTTGTGGCATGGGGTAGGTACTTGCAAAATATATTATAAGTGAATGAATTAGCATAAATACCCAAATCTGGGGAAAGTGTTTCTGACAAAGTAAGTTACATTCCCTCATAATGAAATGCATTCAGTCGTTAAAAATCATGTTACTTAATAATTTTCAGTGACATTGGAAATAGTCATGATACATTCAGTAAAAAATGTCAATTGCAAGAATATTAAATATGAGCATGGAAATAAACTAGATGGAATTCAGAATAATTTAGCTGTGGTTATTTTAAATCACAGGATAAAAGATGATTTATATCATCAAATTTTGTTTGTCTGATTTTTATAAAATGTCTGCAATAAGTGCCTATTACTCTTACACCAGGAAATTCATAGATACATACAGTAAAAACACTACTAGTAAAGAATTATCTAATAGTTTAAGACATAAAACAGAATTATTTTGTGTTAGGAGTATAACAATGATAGAATTAATACTTTCTCAGTTCCAATTGTTCTCTGTCTGTATGTCATATTTTGCCTGACACTTGCCTTAGTGTGCATATTTGTGTATACATCTTTCCAACTACATGAGGCT